AATTTGTGATTAATTTGATTAACCAATATTTCATGTCATTAATGCCAGTTATTCAAATTTTTTATTCACTTGATGGGCCTTAAATCCTTTTTATTCTCATTATTTTTAAACAATATCCACACTAAAGTTCAAATGTGTTGAATTAAAAACTTTACAGGTACATTCTGTGCATAATTCACATACATATAAATCTTTTTGGGTTTTAGTGGGAGCCTGGGATGGTGAGTCAGTGTGGAGCTGCAGTTAGGATCCCTGGACCCTCCTTTGGACCTCCAAAACCAAACTGACCATGATCGAACCCTCCAGCTTCCTCCACTGTCTCACTGCCCTCACCTCACACCTGAACCAAACCGGAGCCCTGTAAGACAGTGCTTCTCAAACTTTTTACAGCGGCGTACCCCCTGGGGCATTTAACATTCTTCTGCGTACCCCCTCTCTTCCACTTAGACTGCAGTCACACCTTTTCTATTGAAGGACAATATTTGCACCCTTAAATTGATTTACAGGTGCATGTTTTACCTTTATAAAGGCAAATATTTTCTATCCTTATTAATTGTATGTCATGTTTTATGTCATATTCTTAACATTTCATTAAGTGTATTATTAATATAATAAAGCAATAAATTATGGCAAATCGAAGTGATACTTGTAGATTTAAAAATAAAACAGCCAAAAAACTCAGAATTTTGTTCGCGTACCCCTCACCGTCATCTCACCCAGGGGTACGCCTACCCCAGTTTGAGAACCACTGCTCTAAGAGCCTGTAACAGTCTGTAGTCTTAATACTGGTGCAGCTTTGAAAATATGCGGTGTTAGTTGAGTCGTGAATGCAATTTTAATTTTGTTCTCTTGATATGTCATCATGGTTGAGTAAAAACAGATTTAGAATGTTAACCTGATCAATGGGTGGTGCTATATAAACATAACTGAATGCCAAACTGTTGTTAAACAATTTAAAAAAAAAAAGTGTTATGCTACTTTAACTGCATTCAGTATTAAGACTATCAGACCCTCAATCTATTCTGCGTTTAGGTAGCAACTTGCACTGGTTATACTGTATTGGATGACCCTTCCCCTTTACTGAAAACCTATAGGACACCTTCAAGAGCATGACATAAACATTTATAGATAGTGATGGCTATTTGTCAGACCTGACGCTTCGTCAGTGGAAAAAATCAGGTTCTATATGTTCTTTAATTAAAATTAACAGCTGCTACAAGGAATAGACATAAAATATATATGAAAAGAGTTTGCATTGCTCATGAAGGAGTCCACCAAGGGGTGTGTGCAAGAAATGAGTTCTCGCTTAATGAGACTATTGTTGTTTTCTAGCAGCTTAGACAGGACATTGTAGGCTCCCAAATAACTTCATAACATGTCCAGATAACCAGTTTCTGAGAGCGCATTGCTGGTTTTATGTGCTCTCATAAACATGGATATCATTGTGTCTATCTCTCCCTCTCTCTCAAAGTGGAATTTTTTTATGTTGCATTTGTGGCCTATTGTCTTCGTGTATTAAAATTACAGTAAAAAAATGGATAGTCCACTTAAAAAAAAAAAAAGAAAATGAAAAAGAGATGATCAAATCAGACAAAAGACACGGGTATGGGTGTTCTGAATTTGTATAAATGTGTATGTATATAAATATGTATTATCAGAGTTTTCACTTTTCAGAAGAAGAAAAAAACTTTTTCTGGAAAAAAAAGCACTCAAAAATCTAGCTGTCCAGTTTACAAAAAGAGCTTTAAATACTTTATTTTGAGAATTTTTTTTTTTGAAGCAATGGACATTTTTTTTTCTTTCAACTGAAATAGAGAAATTGAATAGAGAAGAAATTCAAAAATGTGTATGCACTATTCTTTACACGTGACACAATCTATACTCTGTGTTCCAAGATGAAAAAGTCATTGTTTGGCAGAGCAACTATGCAGTGTACATATGTTTTAAATCACAGCTGACTTACCTTAGACTATACATCATATTTTATTAATCTGTAGCTTAAAACATTTGTCTACACTAAATTAATTTCACCCGCCCTGTCATTATAAGTGCTATAGCTGGGTTTCTGACCTGTAAAGGGATAGATCGCCCAAAAATGGACTTTTTCCGCTATCCTGTGGTCTCTCATACTGGTCATCTGACACATTACTGATCCCAAAATTTGATTTGACATAGTTATTACATTACAATTAGCGTAATTTCAGATTTCGTGCCAATATCGAGTTGAAACCCTGCACAAATTTACAATCGAACTGTATAAATTAAATCCAAGAAACTCATCACTGAAACAAAAGCCTTAAGTCAAGAAGGCGCCCGTCTTCTTGCATGCAACAATGAGAGGAATCTGTGCAAGCATTAGCCAATGGTTTCATGAAGTCAAGGCTTTTGTAATGCAAACAAGCAGTCTTGACGTTATCTGTTGTTGATGCACTGTAACCATCAACTCCAGATGTCTCCTCTCCAGTTTGAAAATCTGGATAAAAGCAGCCAACTCACTTGCATTGTGTTTCCCACAGAATTTGCCTCATTAGTGTTATATAACTGTTAGGAAAGAGTCTGAGTGCACATGTCTGTTCTTTTAACACAATTACATAACCACTACCACATCATGCAAATGTGTTGGAGTAGCGTTCGCTAATGTGGTACTCAAACCCAACCGGTGGGTCAAATGTTTCTGTGAGATGGTTTATGGAAAAATCTCAGTGTTTACACAGACAACTACACTTATGGGCTGAACCATCCCAGAGGATTTCAGACTGTGACATCATAAAGGGCAACACACAATAATAGTCCTGTCCATAAATGGTAAAGCTTTTCTGATTAGTGGTAATAAAACTGGGAGTTGGCTAGAAATATATCCATTGCTGAGCGCTATAAAAAATTGTGAAGTACTTTAAAGACAATCAATTCGATTTGGACACGGGTTGACATTTTTATTTTTTTAATTTAACTTGGACATAACGTTTTCCACTCTTGCTTAACTCTTGGACTACTATGGCTCCATTGTTTATATGGTTGTTATAACATTTCTCGTAATGACATTTTCAGTTTGATGTGGGGTTGCCAGATCTCTTTAAAATCAACATTTTGAGTTGCAATTGTTAACAAAGGACATCTGTCATTACATGTACTCATCTGGATGGGAGTTATTACCAAAGTGGATAATGTCCATTGTCCATTACCCAAGTCCTCAAGGTAGTCAGCTAACTTGGCCATCTTGGTAATGCTTCTGGGCAGCTATTTGTACAGCAGTCATCTTCTTGAATGAGGAAGGAGCAATATCTTAGAATGTGTCACAATTAAATTTAAATAACAAATTTATATAAGGAACTATGTCTGACAACAAGTATAATACATCACTATATAAATACCGCAATCACAGGCACTCCTGTGCAGGCAGGATTAGACATTTCAGAGGATGTCTGTGTTAGCTGAAAAACAGTAATTTGTTTAAATTTTTTTTTGTTTTTTTTGAGAAAAAGGCAGGCTTGTTTAGTTCCAACTATGTTGCAGAAACACAAACATACCTTGGAAAAATAGTCCCATCTGAACAGGCCTTTAGTCGCCTTTTACCTTTATAATACATCTCTGAATCTTCTGTGGCTTGTGTGCATATGTCTATGTGTGTGGGGCATGCTGCTTTATTGGCAGGATATTGGGAAGCTGCTGCCATCATGATTCTCGCACATATGCATATCTGTACATGTGAGAGAGGAAATGACATATGCAGGGAATGCATTGTGTTGTAGATTAAAAGCTGATCGTAAGTGTGATGGTTTTGATTAAACATCAGGGTCAGCCAACACAAATTACTTTGACAAATCAAATTGTGCTTCTCAGTTCTGATGCCCTTAAAAAAAGGTTAAGATATTTAAAAAAAAGAGATGTGTGTGCGGTTTTACAGTACATACATAAAAGCATAGCAGGTATTACAACTTGGCCTTGTGGAAAAGTCATAATAATTTTATGAGACTGCAAAAGAAAAAGAATAAAAGCCTGAAAACATAACCCACACAACCCAATGTACAACCCATGTACAACCCAAACCTAAACCCCTAATCCAACATTAACTGTAGTAACAAAACAACCTATAAAACTACATTGGCATGATCTACATTGTATAACTTTGACATTGTATAACAATTGTCATGAGAGTATTGGAAAATATGCAATCAAATGTTTTAAACAGTAGACAACCAAGGGTAATCGTAAATTAGACACCACTGGAAAACAAAATGTTTTAAACAAATACATTGTTGGCTGTTTTGATACAATCCTGGCAATTACAACACTGCAACAAAAAGTCATTAAGTATTTTTGTCTTTAAAACAAGATAAACGGAATTTAAAAGCAACATTGCATAAGATAGTAATGCTGTATCTTTAATTCAAGTGCATGTCTTATGGCACTAGCAGGTTTTATTCCTTGTTTTTAAGCTTGCTTATACTTACACTGCCAGTACAGTAAGACAAAATGATGATATATATTCTCTGTAAGCAAGTATTATGCAGTGTTAAATGCTATCCTGCTTTAAGAATTTTTAGATATTGTAACTAGGAAAACAACAACAACAACAACAAAAGAATAATTAAAAACTATTTTGCAGTAAAATTAATTTCTTCATAGACATTATAACACAGTACTAACAAGCTCACTTTGCTTCTTATCACCAGTTATGGTATCATGATAATTAAGCTACAAAAAACCCTAAAAAATTGCAAAAGTGTATATGCAAAGTGTCGTCAATAATCATTACATTACTAATGAGCAAAGAACACACAGTAATGAGATAAATATTATTGATATGTTGAGTATATTCTGTGCTGACTGTTCTGCTAGAAAGCAGTTACACTTCTCTGTTGCGAGTCATCACAGAGTATTGCCCCTCTCTGAGCTCTCATTCTTCCATAAAGGGAGGTGGTCCTCCAGTCTCTCCTGATCCTTCTCTCTCACACACACTTCGACACATTGAACAGACCTGCTTCACCATACAGGACACGATGTGGCTTGCTGTGTTTTACATATGGGGAAGCCTGTTAGCATTTTCTGTGTGTCACATCTGCTCAGAGACCTCTGAGGACGCTGCTTCATGGGTAACGCTGAAGCCCCTGGGGCACTGCGGGGACGAGGAGAATTTGTGCCCTTATCAACTCACCCTCCCTCCTCTCTCCATCCAGCTTCCCAGGCCTTTTAGGGAGCTGGAGAAAATGGCCAAGGAGCTGCAGAACCTAAAGGACATGGTGAACCAGCTAAGGAGGGACTGCCAAGAACGTAAGGACAGACATAGTATCGAGAGTGGTGGACAGAAAGAACACAGTGAGGAAAAGGAAAGGAGACATCAAAGTCCAAGGCATAACATCAGCATCAAGGAGACACAGAGTCATAGTGGAGAACAAGTAGTCCGGATCTTAACTTCAAGCTTACCGCAAGGAGACACATCAGAATGTGAGGGAACTGTCAAGGATGGCGTGAAGAGGCTCAATCATTCCGTTTTGGAAAGTCAGGAATGGAACATTGACCCGAGGATCGATCTAAATGAAGGCACCACAGATCAGAGGTCCGAGATGAGCAGAGAAGTAAAAATATTTAACCCCTCACTTGACGAGAGACCCGAGGACATATCTAAGGTCAAACTTGTGCTCTCACCCACACCTGAGGAGACAGAGAAGGAAATTAAGTCTAAGCAAAGTGAATTAATAGAACTGTCTCTCCCTAGAAAAAAGGACACCATACAATCCTCAACCCATGGGAAACAGCAGCTAAATATTCTCAGAGATGGACATGTAAAGAACATCAGTGGCATCCTGGCAGCAAGAAGAAGAGTGCAGAATGTGCCTGATGCGAATGGATTAAGCAGCATTTCAAGGGATGCTAACACTAGGATAATGGATTTAAGCACATCAGATGGGAACAGAAGGGTTGTAAAGTGTCCTAGAGAAGGTGGACCAATGAGGCCAAAGGGATCCTACATAAATAGTAGAGTTGTCAAGGTTAACAATGAAGACAGACTGAAGAACCCTGCTTTGGTGAGGATCCACAATCCACAAGCCAGGGACATGATGTTCAAGATTGAGCCAGAAGAGGCTGGATTTTCCCCAGCAAGGAGTGGCATTATGCGGGTCAAGGAAACAAGTCCTCTTATAGCAAACACAAAAACTGGGGTAATTACTGGACCGACCCTATCAACAGATGACCAAAACAATCAAGACATCAGTAGGGTTTCTGGTCCCAGAACAGATGATGGACATGGCCTAAAAGATGCAAGTCAAGTAACTAAAATTACCAATGACAATTTAAGAAAAGTAAACAAAACTGGGATTACAAGGAAAGAAAACCAAGGTCATGTGAGTCACATAACCACAAATAAGTCAATCTCTATTGTTATGAACCAAGCTGAACAGCCAAACATGGTTAAAGAGGAAAAGCAGTATGTGGGACTGAGTGAAAGTCTAGTTGTTATTAGTAGTGAGGAAGAGACTAGGTCCAATTTGAATATAGAGGACTTGACTTTCCCAGGAAGACAGGTGGAAAATGAAAAATATCTAAATCCAATTACAGAAACTAATAACAGACAAACTGATTTGAAAATGTTGGATAAGGCTGACAGCGCTTTCAATGAAAGGAGAGTTTTGGTGGGAAAGACCAATCCACAAGCCAGGGACATGATGGTCAAGACTGGGCCAGAAGAGACTGGATTTTCCCCAGCAACGAGTGGCATTATGCGGGTCAAGGAAACAAGTCCTCATATAGCAAACAAAAAACCTGGGCCCATCAGTGGACCGACCCTGTCAACAGATGACCAAAACAGACAAGACATCAGTAGGGATTCTGGTCCCAGAACAGATGATGGACATGGCTTGAAAGATGCAAGCCAAGTAACTAATGTTAGGGAGGACAATTTGAGAAAAGTAAACAAGACTGGGATTACTAGACTTCCAACAAATCTGAGGAAAGAAAACCAAGGTGATGTGAGTCACATAGCCACAAATAAGTCAATCTCTAATGTTATGAACCAAGGCATAGTGCCAAACATGTTTAAAGAGGAAAAGCAATATGTGGGACTGAGTGAAAGTCTGGTAGTTATTAGTAGCGAGGCAGAGATTAGCTCCAATGTGGATAGAGAAGACTTGACTTTCCTAGGAAGACAGGTGGAAAATGAAAAATATCTAAATCCAATCACGAAAACTAATAACAGAAAAATTGATTCCACAATTTTGGACAAGGCTGACAGCACTTTTAATGAAAGGACACTGCCTCCAGATCTTAAAGATCAGATGCAGCCAGGGATGTTCAGTGAAGGGGCAAATGAGCATATCGGGTTTAACTCACTGAGTGCAGGGACTATGAAGAAAGACATACCAATCCACAGTAAAGCCATCCTTCCAGAAAAAGATCTGGTGAAGCCCACCCTTGTCCCAACTGTAAAGAGTAAATCGACTGAGAGTACAGTGAGTACAACCAGTAGCGTTCAATCACTTGTAGTAGGCCAGGGGACAAGGAGAATTTCAATAACTCCACTCAAAGCTGCAGCTGTAGAGGGACCGTCTCAGAACAGCAAGAAAAATATCAGCAAGATACGTGAAGTAAGTCAAGACAACAAAAGGTATGTGATGCCAAACCCCGATAGACACCCTATTAGACATCCAACAACTGTGATTTCATCTAGAGTCAACAACCTAAGACAATCTAATGTGATGGGCAACATGTCAGCAAACAGAAGTGTTGGGGTACATTCTAAGCTGTCCATCCCAGTCAGAAACAGCAATACTACCAGGAAAAATGGCTATGGAATAATAAGACCAAGCTATATAAGCAAGCCAAACTTTCAAAGTCAGCCAAACAGAACCAGAGGCTTCAAGACAAAGGCAAATACAGTGACTCAATTCTCCAGTCCCACTGGTGCAACAGAACAAGTACAAACAGAAGAAATCAAACACATTCCACAGGTGATGAGGTCAAATGTATTGGATAATAAATGGTTAAAAAACAACAGTACAGAGTCAAAATCACAACAGTCTCAAAATTCAGGTGATGTACAAGGTTTGGAAAAGGTTCAACAAAGAAATAACCAAGTTAGAGACAACAGTGAGCCTGTGTTGATCACAAATATTGGGAGTGCAGAGGATCCTAACACTCTGCAAAGTGGAGCCTCAAATTCACCGACTGGTGGAAAAGAAAGCAAGATATTTAGTTTGGGAACTGACGATACCAGTAATCAACACCCATTTGAGGTGGACAAGATCAGCAGTGGGAAGAAAGGACCAACTGCACCAACCTTAAAGAAAGAGTTATCTAAGGAACCAGGAAAAACACTATCCACCACGACAGTTTCTTTTATGGACACAGACCATGAAGACAGCACAAAAAATATTCTTAAAATGACAAAAACACATGTTGAAATGGTTAAAAACGTCAGTTGGGAAACACCCATAAGCTTTGAAAATACTGGAACAACAAGAGAACTGGAACTTATTAAATTGAATAAAGACAGAGTGGAAGAAAACTCTGGGGAGATATTATCTAACCCAAACAGTGCGGACATTGCCCAAGGTTACAGCGGAGAGAGGTACACAATTCCAGTTGTTTTGGAAACGCTTACAAATGTTGAAGAAATTAAAGGCTCAAAGCTTTTCTCACTCGGGCCCGAGGACGCTGCTGAGGGGTTTAAATCACATGCAGTAAGTGATGAGGTAACAGAGAGAGAGCAAGTAGAAAACAAGATCCACAGCATCTGTGACAGTGATTGTAACACTACGTCAACCCAGCAGTCTACAACCCTGACCAGGGCCCCAGTGGACTCTGGAAGAGGTGAGGAATTTTCTTACACAACCCATGTTAATGTTTACTTTTAAGAAACAAGTTAAAGGAGTATTTACTCTTAATTTACACCTTAAAAAGTATGGCAGCAGTGCATGTTTATTTGACACAAAGCTTACAATATTGTGGGATAAGTCCGTTTCACTGTTTGTATAGATTATACTCAAGATGTCCAAAAATAACTGCAGGTACAATCTATTCAGATAATCATTCCCAGGAAATAATATAATATGAAAGTATTCTTTAACATATGTTCTGTGACCCCGAACTTTATCTCGATAGTGTGATAGGATTCCATAACAGGGATAAGTGGATATGGATCCACATCTGAATAGCAGATGTTATGGTTTTTGTGAAGAGGACCAGCTGTAGGCATCTTCTTTTGTCTGATGTATCAGGATGGGGTGTCTTTGTTGAGCTTGAGGAAAGGCTCAAAGGCAAAGACTTTTTTTGCAATGCATAATTAATGCATGCAGAAGTTCAGTACCATTCCATGCCAAGTGCTAAATTTACTTGTCCAGTGATTGGAGTCTGAAATTTGGCCCAGTGTAAACTTTTGAAACCACAGATAAATAAATCCAGGTGGTCAAAATTTATATGTATAAAATAGCCTTTGCATATCTTTTAAACGAAACCTTAAGTGTAGGCTGTCGAGTATAGCTTTGTTGTTTGGGTCTAACAACAAAGATGGATAGAAAACAATTTCAGCGCATCATCTTGCTCTGCATTCTTTACAAATTCATATGATCCCGATTTTCAGATGAATGTTTATTTTTTTAAATTTCAACCCAATTGAATTTATTTGTATTGTGCTTTCCACAATAAATATGGTTTCAAAGCAGCTTTGCAAATAAAAGTGCCTTAAAGCTTCTCTAGCTGAAAGATGACAATGGCAAAGAAATGCTCCTTAAGATGTTTAAGTATATATATAAGCATGCAGATTAAGGTTGTTTACACATTGTAAAAGCATTTTTCATCAACAGAGAATGAGGTAACCTAAAACAATTTTTATTGACCACAGAAAAAGGACCTGCACAAGACTGTGCTGATTACATTACGAAATCCCGAAGGAATGGTGTATATAGAGTAACGCCGCAGCCAAAGAGCAGCATGCTTCCTGTTTTCTGTGACATGGAGTCTTCTGGTGGGGGCTGGACTTTGATACAGCATCGCTTTGATGGCAGCACAAGTTTCAATCGCACATGGGACGAGTACAAGAATGGATTTGGTAAACTAATAGGGGAGTTTTGGCTTGGCAATGACAAGATTCACTTGTTGACAAAGGCGAAGAACATGTCATTGCGAATAGAAATCGAAGACTTTGAGGGTATCAGAGAATACGCCCATTATGACCACTTCTATGTGGCCAATGAAAGCCAACAATACCGCCTGTCCATTGGTGGTTACTCTGGTACAGCTGGTAATGCCATGCAGTTTAGTAAGAAGTATAATCACGACCAGAAGCTCTTTACCACTCCGGACAGAGACAATGACCAGTATCCCTCTGGAAACTGCGGGGCCTATTACAGCTCAGGCTGGTGGTTTGATGCATGCATGTCTGCAAACTTAAATGGGAGATATTATCAATCAAAGTACAAAGGGGTGCGTAATGGGATATTTTGGGGTACGTGGCACAACATTACAATGGAATATTACCCAACCAATGACAGACAATCTTTTAAGACTGTTAAAATGATGATTAGACCTAAGAACTATGCTATCTAATACTTACCAACCAAAATTTAGCTCTCTTTTGAAGTTAAATAGTAGAAAAAAAGGCAAGTGCCTTAAGTATATTGCTACTCTTGCGTTTACTGCTTTATTAATAGAAAATATAAGTGTGGCGTCAGAACTCGAATAAACATTGACCAATATTTCTGTATCTATGTTGTTGTTTTTTGAGCTGTACACATATGCATTAGTAGAATACATAGAATACACAACTGAGCCCTCATGTGTTGCTTTGAAAATCCTGTTTTGCATAAGACATATGAAACCATGCTATTTAGCCTATGGATTCAGCAATTATCTTGTATATTGTATTTTTTTAACTTACAAACACTAAAATGTTTGCAAGTCTGGGCTACACATGACTACGTTTACATGGATATTTACAGAATTTCTTGTCAGTTGTCTATTTTTTTTTTAATACAAATAGCTAGATTTTACCAGCTGAGTAAAAGCATCTGTCATTTTCTATTATTTTCATTGTACACTGTAGGAATTTTGAATTTGAATGAACACTAAGTGTTATTTTCAAACATTGTATATATGTACACCCCAAAAACATCCTTTATCCAGACGACTCATTCTAAGAGGAAATTTCAATTTCAGTTAAAAAGGAGGATCATAATTTAATTACTTAAAATTTACTATGAATAAATTACTACATTTCTACTAGATTTGCATATTTTGCTCCCTGCTGAATTGTAACACCTTTTCTGCATGATCTTGGAAACATTTGTAAATTTAATAACTGTGCACTTGCCGAATACAGTTGTCATAAAGAAAATAAATATGCATCTTTTAATTACAAGGATGCTGTTATTACGTTTTAATATTATTTACACACTCTATACAAGAGAAAATTATTAATTACATTTCGTAAACATGTATTATGTAAGTTCTGCAATGCAAAACATAAGTGTTTGATAAAGAAACAGATTTATAAATATACACCATTATTGTAGAACATGTGTCGTTTCCATTAGCAAACCATGTTGTGTTACAGTACTGGTTGAATAAACAGTGTGTATGCAGCACGTTAACGGTTATTTTTCAAATGTTCATTATGGTATGCCACTAATGATCTCAGTGTTTCACTAAAATGCAATAAATATTCTGAGCAACATTCACAATCAGTCATTTCTGTCACCTGAGTGGAAACTCACCGAGCCAAAATTCATAACCCTCCCTGCATCACTGTGAACATGAAACGTAGGCTATTCAGCGTAGTCACTCTTGAGCCTGAAAGAAACAAGCAATTCCTGATAAAGAGCTTGAAACAGCTGTACATTCTTATTGTCCGTTGTATATTCCCTTCTTTATGAATAACATCTACTTTCGAGATGATTTTATTCCTGAAGAATACAGTAAAGACTTCTGCTGGCTTTCAAAGAACACCGTTCATATGTTCAGTCTCTTCTGAAGTGGAAAACGTTGTAGCCCAGCTCCACCATAGCTCCGATGAGCAGTGCCCACAGAGGGATGCAAACCGAGCTCACCAAGATGTCCATTAGGCCCTCTAATTTGGCACAGAGCGTCAAACAAAATGCCAGTTTAAGCAGCATGGCCACAAGGTACCACACGGGCTTCTTCAAGTTCTCCGCCCCATTGCGAGGGTCGAACCCCGGCTTGCAGCGGCCAGCCATTTTGACAATGAGCATGAGGAGGAGAATAAGATCAAAGGTCCAGACAGGAAGGAAGATGAGGAACCAGTTCCAGATGATCTTCCCGTCCAACTTCAGGACCAGCATAATAAGGAATATAAGTGTGAAGATCCATGTCAGGAGGACTCTTTGAGCAAGAGACATGTTCATTTGAAACGCTGGCCTAAGGGCACAGCAATAAGCTGATCTGAAAGAGACAAAACAATTATCATCGGAAGTACGAGTTCAATTTACATTCAGCCAGTTAATTTCATCTAGTGGAGTTCATGCTGCTACTAAAGGAAAAGAGGGAAATTCATAATAATAATAATGTAAAATTACATTAAAAACAAAAATAATATAAATGCATTCATAATATCAGTATTAATACATAATTAACATATTTCATTAATTAATAGATTTAATATTACACTTTTTAACCCAGTTTTTCATTGGATGTTACGTTGATATTACAAGCTGACATAAATTACATTATATTTATTTATTAAATAGTAGCATATTCACTATGGGTTATGAGATGACATGCAAATTCACAAATGGCTAAAACTCAAGTTTATTATTAGTTGAACATTAAATCATTCATTTTTACATCTTAACATACTGCAATGGCCGATTTGTTCAAATGTAAGTTAAACTGTTTTAGTTACAGCAACGTTAAGTGCCTCTAAATTTATTTAACTACCCATCAAGCTGTATTTATCATGTAAGACACTGAGATGTGCGGTCTCACTAATAAAAGAACATTTGTTTTATTTATCCATATTTTATCTCGACTGTCCCGTCCTGACATTCTTAAAATGAAGGAGCTGTTCATTACTAGCGCAAAACTAACGCTAGCATACACAGTCCTACGTGTTTTATGTGTTTACGAAGGCAAAACGACGAAAATAAAATAATAACAATAAAAAAACACATTGACGGAAAAGCTTACAGATGATGAAGTCAACCCGGCTGGCCTTCTAGTCAGAGGGGTTTGATTAAAGCCGATGTCCCCTTTCCGGACTGTGTGTTTGAACCTTTGAACACTGACGTTTTCAAAACAACTTCTCTTGAAGTACTAACGTTAAGTTGAAGTGCGCACAGCGCCACCCACCGGACTGGAGGACGCGCATTAAACAGCCAGGCGCATTCAGTTCAATTCAATTGTATATCGTTCCAAGGAAATTTACGAATAATTGTGCCTTACAAACGGTCAGATATTTATACATGTTTATTTATTTTATTTGCATTAAATCTTAATTTCTCACGAACGCGCAGCCGTGCAAACTATAAGGGCCAATGTCAGGAAGGATATTCGTTAAATAATACATTTTCGGTTTGTTTTTCACTAAACCCTACTGCATACCGACAGAACACTTGAACTACGACACGTGTCGCATAGGACCGGTCTCTGACACTTCTGAGTCTTTTTTTTTTTGTTGTAACTTTATGCTGGTCGCTATTCCCTGCCATTATATGGACGAGCGCGAATGAGACATTTCTTTGAACAAAGAAGGGCATACAGCATTATTTCCCAATCCAATCTTCATTTTTGGGTGAACTATCCCTTTTAGCTGGTATGTCCAGCTAAGATGATCTACCAGCATTTGATCTCATTTCGCTTCTGGAAAAAAGAAAACAAAAACAGAATTAAGCAGGAGAGCGGTAAAAAAAAAAAAAAAAGAATAAAAATAAATGGTTTGAAATATAAGAATGTTACTGAAAAACACCATTGACATCTTTATTCAGCCTCAAGATGGCACTGCTTCACTATTTTGAGTTGTTGGGCTTCTGTTAAGTGACATTGCTAGCAAACTGCTCCTTAGCGAGTCTCTAAAAATTATCCCACTATTTTGCTTCAGTTTTTGCCTACATTAATGCCTCTGTAAAAGCAACATTTGTCATTTTCCTTGCACTTTAATTGCTATGAAAGTACTGAAGAAAACTTTTCATATTTCTCTCAGTTTGATGCCACACCTGAGATAACCATCAGAATCCACTAATTTCCAATTAACTATTACAATTACCCGTTTTCTAAAATAGCCTTTAGGGTCCAGACAAGAAGGTGCAGGGTGCATTGATAGCACACAAAAAGCCACATCCATGCTGAATCAGTTAATGAGCTTATTACCCTTTGCAAATGTCCTGTTGTGGCTGCTATTACTGAGGCCTTAAGGGGGTGTCAGCACAAAAGCCAGGTAATAATACAGCAGCTTCTTTGCTCCGTGTTGCTTATCAGTGAAACCACACAACTGCAAGCTGCCTTGAGGCCCTGAGCCGAGGACGCCGTTTTAATTGGGTCAGTCTGATTCTGCAGCCTGTTGCCACCACATGAGTGAATAGTGAGCTGGAAAAAGCAACCCTCTGCCTTCTTATGAGGATGCACAAGGTGTTCCAGACTACACACACGCCTGGAACACTGCTGCTCCATTATAAAGACTGACCACAGTTATTGCATAGTAAAAAATAGTTTGTATGTAGCATTTATAATATTGCAGGAGCATTCATAGTAACCTCAGGTAAAACCACTAATCTACTTACCTTGATCTAATCTATAGATTCAATGTTTAAAAAAAAAAAGAAAATTCAAAAGTGAAATGCATTCCCTTACTTAGAAACATTTGATATTATCAATGCTGAAAACAATTGTGCAGCTTGATATTTTTGTGGAAACCGTGATAGGATTATTTTCATGAATAGAAAGTTCAAAAGAAAGGCATTTATTTGAAATAGATTTTTTTTTGCAACATTATAAATGTCTTCACTGTCACTTTGATCAATTTAATGCATTTGGTTTTAAGAATCCATTTTAAAATTACATCATACGGTGACACTGAGGGCTGAGAAAAGATTGTCCTTATCTGGCCTTTGCATATTTTGTTCCTGCAATCTGGCACAACTTTATGCATTGACTTTGAATATTTCAAATTAAGGTAAAGATAGAGTTCTTTATATTCCACTGCCAAGTACAGCTGCACAGAAAATATTAAAAATATTCCCTATAGTACCGTGTCCCTGTGCCACACATATAACTCAGCTTTGTGGCTTTGTCTATTTTTGAGCATATTTGGGTGAGAAATATGTTCTAACCTGAACATCTGGCATGACAAAATTCAATATCTATGAAATGAGAATTTAAAGGGACCATTCACCCAAAAATAAAAATCTTTATTTACTCACCCTCATGTCATTCCAAACCTGTATTATTTGATTTCTTCCGTGGAACACAAAAAGAGAGTTGTTCTTTTATTTATACAATGAAAGTGAATAGGGACTACAGCTGTCCAAGTCCCCATTCACCTTAATTGTAAGAAAATGAATGATTTTCAATCTTCATTTTTTTTTTAGATTTAACTTTAGATTTAACATCATACCTTCTGACCTCAAAGCGTTCCAGACAACTCTTGAAACAACTTAATCATAACTATCTAAAATTTGCTTGAAAATGACGCCAAATGATGCATTAAGACCATATTAGATTTTCCAGTTATCATTTTTAAGTAGGATGTGGGAGAAATTCAAGTTCTGAGTTGACTGGAATGCAGCATAAGTCCATTTAAGATAAAAACACATGATGAACTACATGCGAGTATAAAGCAGCTTCATGCGAAAGACACACAATTCAGCTTGCATTTACATCAACATCCAAAGCGCACATCCCTTTGACTCTGTAAGGTAAATTCAATTCGGGGCTTCAATTTCCTCTTTTGGGTATGTAATGCGGTTGTCATGTTCAATGAGAAATTGCTTCCTCTCTGAAGAGCTTTGTGGGAACTGAAATAGGCTGCTATGACATGCTCATTCCCCGTGTCCTTCTAGAGAAGATTAAAAGCTTGATATCGAAATCATGCTTCGTCACCAATGCAAAACATCTTATTTACTCCTAATGGGAAGCGAACGCAGAGTGTCAGATGTGAAAAACACGTTTCTGTCATACACACGTGTGCACTGTTTCAAATCAAGGATCTTCAAGCCCCGCTTGGCTGCGGCTCCATTATCTCCAGCTCCTGCAGTATCCTAAGATTTGTGCCTATTCCCCGGCATACTTTAGCCCTATGGCTGTCTGTGTTGATTTATGTTTGACAGCCATTGAACTCATCACAACCTTGTGTGAATATCCGTATTGACCTGTGGCCACTCACATTAAATCCTATCGAGTTTAGTCTTGCATGATGTTCGACCCCCTCAAAGGAAGCCTGTCTTAGAGCAATCGGAAAATTCATAGCTATAGCATTTAAGCGCAAATCAATCTTAGGCAGCATGAAATTAATATAAAATCCTTTCACATTGGATTTGTGCATATGAAAATACTTCATCCGCAGCACAGAACAGGTGTATATGCCAGATATGACGTTGAGAAGAACATAAGCAAATGCTTAATTTGACTTAGTAAATGTATTGGCATGAAATGGAAGTTGCAAATAGCTGCCGTTTAAAATAAACACTTGGTGAAAATTTGATCATCCAAGATGCAGATGTGTTTGTTTCTTCATCAAAACAGATTTAGCATTACATCACTTGCTCATCAATGGATCCGCTGCAGTGAATGGGTGCCGTCAGAATGAGAGTCCAAACAGCTGAAAAAAACATCACAATAATCCACAAGTAATCCACACGACTCCAGTCCATCAATTAACATCTTGTGAAGCGAAAAGCTGCGTGTCTGTAATAAATCAGTAATTTTTACTTTAAACCATCGCTTCTGGCTTCTGTGCTTCATCTGTGAATTTCTTTTGGCGCTTTCGACGGTGGATAGGGGTCAGAATGGGCACCCTGACTGGTCTGTGGCTATGCAGCCCCATACGCAACAAACTGCGATGCACTGTGTATTCCGACACATTTTCATCAGAACCAGCATTAACTTCTTGAGCAATTAGAGCTACAGTAGCTCGTCTGTTGGGCCAGCCTTCGCTCCTCACGTGCATAAATGAGCCTTGGCAGTCCATGACCCTGTTGCCGGTGCAGACCGGGAACACCCCACAATAGCTGCAGTTTTGGAGATGCTCTGACCCAGTCGTCTAGCCATCACAATTTGGCCCTTGCTCAAATCCTTACGCTTGCCCATTTGTCCTGCTTCTAACACATCAACTTTGAGGACAAAATGTTCACTTGCTGCCTAATATATCCCACCCACTAACAGGTGCCGTGATGAAGAGGTAATCAGTGTTATTTACTTCACCTGTCAGTGGTCTTAATGTTATGCCTGATTGGTGTATAAAAATAAATAAATGTAAAAATAAATAATTTTCCAGATAACTGTATGACAATGTGGTTTATTACTAAAAACTATGAGTACAATAGAGTTTGCCTTTTTCTGTGTGACATTTGATCATTGAATTGACATCGAACTGACAAAAGGACCAAGAATATGTACAACTGACAGTATCCACCTTTACTGTGGCTAAAAATTGTAAAGTCTTTCTTGGACTCCAATTTGGCCCACATAGTTTCAGTTGAACATTTCTATAGTTCGTACTGTAGCATGTGATTTACATTTACTGCACATGACATGGTTCTATAATTGTCCTTCATGTCAGTCATCATAACCATCCTCTGTTGCTCCATCCCAGTTTAACAGCGGTCTTCGTTCTGGAGAGACAGACGGCTCGATCCGCTGCCACCGACTGGGTGGCCAGATGATGTGAGACGCCCGACCATGGACAAGACCGAGAGAAACCTGTGGAGATCCGAATCATCAAGCTTCTGCTTATAAACTACCATGAGAAGCTCTATAAAGTCAAACAAAATGGTCTATTTCTTAAGGAGAAAGTAGCTTTTGATAGACAACACGTTTAACAAAGAGCAACTGGAACAAGAATTACATGCTTTTCTCATCTAGTGAATAGAAAGCAATATATCTCTAGCTAGAAGAGAAAAGGACCTCATTGCTTTTTATAGCCAGAAGGACATGGGAGAGATTCCAACAAGCTCCCAAAAACCTTGATTTGGAGGGTATTGTAAATACCTGCGAGGTTTGGAGGGAACTGAAAGGGTGATAATGTACTCACCTGCAGAGGAAGATATAGACTTCACAAATCGTTGGGTTTA